GCAACCACCACCACCATTATCACAACAGTGTTCTTGTGGGGAATCTTGATCTTTGCTCAGTTTGGTTTGTCTTCTTCATCAGCACTTTCTCCTGATCAGTATTATTACCAAACCTACCCTTCACCAAGAAAAGCTGGTCCTTTCCATAAAACGTCGTCGTTTCAATCACCAATAACTTCAGTGTCACTCACGGATCCACGTCGAGAAGAACAAGACAGAGATGATGTTTATAGAGACGACAAGAGATTAGTTCACACAGGTCCAAATCCTCTTCACAACTGATCGATTAGTAGTAACACGTGTGTCTTGTCTCTTTTCGAGTTTATGATATTGCCTTGACCTTGAGATCCTTCAATCTCTGCTTCAAATCTCTTTACTTAATGTTTTTCTCACTTATGAGATATGGATCATTATCCTTAACCTTCTTTCCGATCTGATTAGGCTAAGAGTTAATGATCTTGTTTCTCTTAAATTTGTTGTAACTCTTTTGCTTCAATAGTGACCAGGGATGGACCTTCGAAATCCAAGAATATTGAATATAGTTTTGTATTTATTTAATTAAACTAATACTATGTTATATGCATAACTATTATTAAAAAATGGTTGAAGATTCGAATGCATGGATTTCTTCGTGGATCATGTTCTATGCAGAAAAAGAAGGTTGTCTTTATGTGATAAAATGATTAATAAATGTGATATGTATACTATTTGTTTTTTAAAACTCGATGTTGAATAGGTCCAAAGACTTTAGAATCGTAAACTTATATATAATAAAAATAGGTGAGTATTGTTATTGTTTAAGTAATGTTTTCATTTAAATTTTGATGAACATGGAAGCTATTATTGACTGCTCCTTCGCTCTTGAGAAGAATGAGAATCTCAAACACTTTAAATTCGGTGAAACTCATGCAATTACAAGTATTAAATTATATAATAACGAGCCCATTAATTGTTTTGGATTTTTCGTATAAATTAAAAGTGAGAATACGGTAGGCTCTCTTGTTGAAACATACATTTCTTAGGTGGTGCATTTAGTATATGTGAATATAAATTAACTCCTTTTTAAAACGGCCATGGATGTCATGTAAATTCACGTATACTGATGATTAGTGAGTAGATATATATAACAAAATGTATACTAATTAGAAACCCTAATAATATATAATTATCCGATTGAAAATCGCATACATAACATTAACAAAAAAATGTGGGAAGATGAGTTCATCCGAGCTCAAAGTCCGCTCCGTTCTTATCATTGGTTTCACCCATCTAAATCTCCGGTCTTCGGCTTCCACAATGTTGGAGTTAGCATTTTATCTTATATATCTATAGTTATTCTTGGTCACAAGCCAGTGGCGAACTTGGTCACAAGATTGTAGTATTGAAGACTTGAACCAAGGTTTTGGTGGGTCAATACACAAAACACTACCAATTATGYCACAAAATCCTCAATGAATTACATGCATTAAATTTTATTTAACAAGATTGCCCAGGTCAAGTGACCTAGCTTTCTTGTTACTGGGTCCGCCCCTGTCACAAGCGGATTTTCGATGGCTCATACATGTTTTGGTTTTGTAGAAATGAAAATTTCGTTTTTTTTTTGTTTTTCAAAACAGTAGATGTATTTTTATGACTAAGTGTGTTGTTTTTATAGAGTTTATTTCTTTTACCGTCAAGTATAGATGAATATTTGCAGAGTTTACCACCATTTAGGTCTGAAACCATGATACCCTAGATGATGGATTCATGGACTAATATGGCTCTCATCTAAAAATCGCTTGAAATGCATGGTAGTTTGTATTATCTTGTATGGTAACGAACCAAAAACCGTTACCGAGATAAATATTTCTATAAGATTTGATAAGTCGGAGTAATGATGTATTTAGTATGGTTTTGAACTTTTGAGAGACGTAAAATTATGTCATGTTACTCATTTGATTATTTTTTTTAACGATATCAAGTGCTAAGCTCTTTCGCATTTATCGGTTGGAGTAGCTCCGAATAATGCTGACACTAGAGATACACCAGTGGGGACGTTGTACACGAATTTGATCTCCGCATATCGAAAACGTATCATCTTTACTTGATGAACGCAAAACTAATCTCAGATTTACTCATTAACCAAAAAAACATCATCGGATTATTTACGACATCTATTATCGAAAACAAGTCCATATATCATAGAGAAGTTTACATTATAACAATAGTATAAAAAAAGCTTACATGAACTTATGCAAAGATGGGCCAAATATTGGTTGTGACGTGTGAAAAAGATATTATTTATTACTGTAGGCCATTGATTGTTAAGCTTTAATAATTTTGTATTTAATTTGTATGTGTTTGAACTTAATGCATACGGTTCTATCGATGGGGATGCCTGTCCCCAAGGACCTCTCTATATTTTCTCACTTCTTTTTAGAATTTTTTTACTTATATACAGTACAAACATATTTATTGCTCACACATGAATACTAGTTTTACTAATTCACTCACGGATTAATATTTCTATTTTGTTAAGGTAGGAGACTTAAATACAGAATTTCCCAAAACAACCAAATTATATAACAAATGATTGAGGCAAAAAGAATGAAAATTTGACCCCAAAAAAACGTTGATGCCGTAAAAAGATAAACAAATAATATATATAGATGTTATACACATTGATTAGAAATAAGTAAAATGCATTTTTTGGCACGAAGATTGTATTACACATCAACGTTGTTTATAAAATAATTTTGTATTTTTGGGTCCAATTGGTGAAAGAGGAATATCCTAAAAGAGAGAGGGTTGTTGCATGTGGAATGAATGTTTTGCACAGTGGGAGCCATAACTGGAGAGATTTAAGGAGCTCTAGTCATTATTCAACCACCCCATCCCCTCTCCATATTTTAAATTTAAACTTTCCTTATTTTCTAACAAATTTCCAAATTTATAATATAGTCTCTCTTTTTGTGGTTGGATTCAAATTTTTTTTTATGGACGATATTTTCCTTTCTTTTTTTTTTTGGCATCTGAAATATATTAGAATTGAAATCTGATTACAACGAGAGCATTGGAACTATCCGTTAAGCTATTTACAAGATCCAAAAAATAAAGCCTAACTAAARGACTGGCTCATAAGATCAAAAGAAACCCCATGTGACAAGAAACCAGATCACATTATACCAAAAGAAGAAGGGCGCATCTCAGAATCAARCAGYGTT